CTCTCAAATAGTGGGATAGGTTTAGAGTGGAAGTTTAACTTAAATTGTACTTCACCGGCACTTTGACTATGTCTTGCCTTAATCTCACTCTCAAATAGTGGGATAGGTTTAAAGTGGGAAGTTTCAATGTCTTCTAGGCACCAATGGCCTGCACTTATGTGTAAAGTGGGAAGCTATATTCACAGGGTGTAAAATGGGCTCCTTTTATACCTTTTTGGAGGCCAGATTACTAAGCATGATTCATCACATGGATTGGTAAGAATGTGCTTACAAACCATACCATTTGGTGTGCTGAGTCAGCTTGTTTACTAAATACATTATAAATACAGTGCTATCTTACAAAGCATGATAAATCAAAGGTATGAGTCATCTCATGGATTGGTAAGATTGTGCTTACAAACCAAGCCTTTTGGTGAGCTGAGTCATCCTGTTTACTAAGAAGATTATAAATACAGTTGCAAGTCTTACAAACCATGACGAATCAATGACAAAACCTGATGAGTCAGGCTGAATCCTTACAAATCACTGTCATATTCCGTACCTGAAGCTTCTCGTCCGGTCCGGTCCGTCCGTTCTCTCGGTTCCATTCTAGAATTCATTTCCCCGTGTCCCCATTTGTATATGCTTCTTGATGCCCCTATACGCCCGGATCCTTCTGACAGTTAATATCCGGGTTCATTCTGATCCGTCCGTTAGTCTATTCATTTAACTTGTCCCCCCTGTTTCATTTAATCTCCGGCTCCATTCTCGATCGTCCGCAGCAGTTCATATCCGTTAGTACATTTTCTACATAGCCCTCTGATCCGAAGACTGCGCTTCGGCCGGAAACCCGTCGGATACACTACAGTATATAAACCCTTTGTAACCCGTAGTATTTCCTCAGTTCAAATATTAACTTAGACTCTGTTCAATCCTCGTGTCCTCTCGGCTCTTGGGATTATTACCCTAGTCCGATCCTCCGAGCCTTGGGATTATATCCCTAAGGCTAAATACCTCCGCCTCTACCTTCGGGTAGTCTGTACCTTGTTAGTTTCTACCCGGACGAAGTCTCGGGTAGTCTTCTCTCTCTCGTCCGGCCCGTCTATACCCTTCGGCCGACGATATCCAACCCCCTGTAAATTAGGGGCATGTACTCGGGTAAAGAGCGCAGCGCACGAGCTGAAGCTAAGCCCCTCCGGTCCGACCCGTTGAACACGGTCTTAACAATCACCTTATTTCCCAGTCACATGACCTGATTACAAACATGATCAGTCAGCTAGTGAGAAAGTCTGATGAATAAGCCAAGAAAAATAGAAAGAAATGGAAGGTCACAGAACAAAATAGAAATACATAGAAATCCCCGTGTATGATACGAGAAATGAAACACGAGAAATGAGGCTTCAGAAAACAGACTGATGAATCAATGGAAAATGATAGAATCACTTGTATGGTAGAGTACAGTTCATTATACCTTCCTTATCTTTTGTATAGCACACATGTCATGGTATGAACTGCATACCATGCATGACAGCGGGACTTAGACGAATTTTCGAAAAACTTACTTTGCTCCAAGCGCGGCCTAAACAGACGTCGAAATATTGACTATGCGGTGTTGATTAGTGGTAGAATAGCACTTATTTGAAGAGTATAAACAGGATTGGAATAGACGTGTTGGCAAAGTTGGAAAAGTGTCTGTTTACATGTGTTGCTTCAGACCGAGCGAACAAAATTTGCTACACGTCGGATTTACATCTGATTACAAGGGTAGGTACGTTTAGAGTCGTTTTACACACGCTGTCTTCCTCTGTTTAGGATCTGGCTAAAATCTCGTTTCCCCAGTGAGTGCCACATCTGTTCTGATTAGCTGCATGAGTACTATCTGCCTGTTTCCATTGGTAGATCCGTGCTTATACCCATAAACTTTTGGTCATGAGGTGGTTGCTGCTCCCAGAGACTGTTGTATGTGGTTTTGTTGGGGTGTGGTGGCGGGAAGTACTTGTGTTATGGTGAAGTGGGTAACTTCTAGTATGCTGTCACTGCCATGCTTTGTATTGTGCTTGAATGGTGTTCTCATCATCTTCCCTAGTACCTCCAGCTCCTGCATCTGACTGGGCATCATGAGCCTATGAGTCCGATATTAATAGATTACTGATATAAATAATGGTAAAGTATTTTGAATCTAACTTTAGTCTCAACTGACATCCTTGATCGATTCTGCTTTCCAGGGGCTTTCAAAGTTCCCAGAGGACCAAGATTCATACCTTCAATTGCTTTGTGTTGTTGGTCCTCGGTACAATGCTATTAGAGGCTCAGTATCGAGTGGGTCGCTGTTTTCAATAACTTGCTGGTGGTATGTGCTGAAGGAACATAACACCTCAACTGTTGCAGTCTGCTGCACATTGATGAAGAAGATTCATGTCCAAGGCAGTACCAGGATTCATTTTAGGCCATTCTGAATTCAGAGTGGTTCTTGTAAGAATAATCTAGCCATTGATATGTTGGATGTTGGTGGATCAGATGATGCAAGCATGGCAATTAATCAGCACCTTGGCATGTACAATGTGATGCCAATGGGCCGAGTTCAGCATGAGGTGCTAGCATGATACCATGAGCACTTAAATTCAGTACTCACACAGGGGTGCAGTTTGATCACTATGTGAGCCTGCAAACAAATAGATCAAACTAGTGCTTACTCGTGCATCAAAATGCGCAAGGGGATGATTCTTGATGACCCGAAAAGGTCGGTTCTAGACGCATCTGGATTTCCAGCATAAACCACGCTCCAACCAGCCGACTTCCACGAGGCAACAGAAAATTTCATGCAGCTCCTGGAGCATGTAGCCAGTCCCGCTATAATAGAGCATTTCAAACGACACCGCAAGTTCTGTCTCACACAAAAGCCTTTCATCAACAACTACAAGGCAATTCTCGCTTTTGACATTGAAACCAGACACATGTTGTTCAACACTAAAGGGTTCCTCACCGAAGCTGCATATGAGCAGCATTGGAACAATACCATAAAAAAGATCTCTCAGAAGAAGGCCGACGAAGCATCTGTGAACACCGTTCGCAAGACCACCAGGATTGCTGCACTCGCAGCTTGTCTTGAAGAATCAGGTAACAGCTCTAGGTACCAACCCTACCCCGCTGCTAAACCAAAGCCTGACGGGCCTAACACCAGCACAGATGGGAAGTCCTGTCAAAAAGGCAAAGGGACCTTCACCAATGGGCCCCTTTGCCTGCTCTGCAGTTGGAACGGACACAAAGCAAGTGAATGCACCCAGACTCACACCCACAAGAATGAGCCCGTTGTGTGTCACTGGAAGGACAAGATCCCACTCAAGTCCAACTCATCAATTGTCTGTATCTCTTTCAACATTGGAAAGTGCATCACCCCCAGACATGGCACCAAATTTCTCCACGTGTGCTCCATCTGCGGAAGCAGCTCACACCATGCAGCAGCCAGATTGTGTTGAGAAGGTGGTAGATCACATCATCACTCCATACAATGCAGACACATACAAGGACTACCTGAACCATTGTACCGAACATTCCGACGCTAGCCTCACAATAATCCATTATGCATGATCCAGAGCTCACCTGGTCAGGTATACATCTCCATCTCCATCCGACTCCTTCGGTCGACATCCGTCCCTTCGGATACCTAATGGACACGTGACCCGTAACAGATATTGTCATTTGCCCTTAGTCCCTGTCCATCCATGTCCATCCATCCCCATTGGTGCGTTATTTGTCTCTTTTTGTCACTCTGATCATCCACAGTCCGTATTACATGTATGTTCCCAGGCATGAGGCCGCTGTAGGAACCATCCATTTTGTGGCCTCACAATGGATGATTACCTATCATTTGGAGCTCACCTGGTCAGATACAATTTCCATGGTCATCCGCTCACTTCCGTCGGTATCCGTCCCATCATGCACCTAGCAGATACGCTTTCCATAGCGGAAATCATCAGGATCTCTCGGGTTCCGTCCATCCATGTCCTATCCATGCTCGTCCATCCCCATTGGTGCGTCATTTATCTTCTTCTGTCATCCTGATCATCCTCAGTCCGTATTACATATGCGTTCCCATACATGAGGCTGCTTGTCATCATTTACATACTATTCTGCTGCAGACTCGCCTGTACTTACCGTTACACTTAGGATGTTCTGAGTTCTTACAGATCATGTTAAATAGTTGCGCTGAATCTCTGGCAATACACTTCCTTCTACTCCCTTGGACTCAGTGTCTAAGTTCGTGTGATCTAAAGTCCCCTTAGTCTTCCGCCTCACGGATCTCAGCACGGACCCTTGTGTTCCCACTCTTCTGTACTTTGCGCTCCTTAGCCGTATCTTGGTTTACTACTGGTAGCTTGTTACATCGAGTCCTCGATACCTTGACACCTTGACACCTCGAAACCTTGACACCTTGACACCTAGAAACCTCATAGGATCCGTAGCCGTTGTGGGGACAACGAACAGACTTTGAGGAATCTGCTCTGATGTGAGGGCGATATGTTCGACCTCTAGGGGAAGCTGAGTCAGGCGGAAGTCGGGCGACTAAGTGCGCTCGAAGTGCGGGAACGCGCGAGGTATGCGGAGGGCGCGGGAAATGCGCAAAAAGCGCGGAATGCGCGGGAACGCGGCGCTCGTAGAGCACAAGTGCGGAAGGATGCCTAGGATTGTGTAGGACGCGAGGAATGGGTATCAAGTGAATGTATTATGAATATAGACTGATAAGGGAAGGAGAGTATGACTCTTCTTTATAGATAGGTGCTCCCTAAGACATAGCACAAACTGCGGAGCTCTACTAAGGGTGATTGCATAAGTCCCGAACCTTCTCTCAGAAAGCCCAGTAGATATAGAGGATAGCTAGCGAAGAGGGAGCGAAAAGCGTCCTAAAGCGGCCGAGGAGCGCGGGAACGCGGCCGAGGAATGTCACAGACGTATGTAATGAGACAGCGGATGTCAGAAAACCAATATATGTATGTAATACGCACCTATGGACCGAATAGACAATGGATGGATGGATCGGAGGAAGCGCGGGAAAGTGCGCGCTGAGCGCGAGCGCGGGAAGTGCGCGGAAGGTGCGGAAGGTCGCGGGAAAGTCGCGCCCACCTGTGGATAGGGATGAGGTCGATGTAGAAATCAGGGAATACGAGCCTGTAGAGATATCACTCTCTACACCGTACCGCTAGGCATCCGCCCCAGAGTTATCTATCCTTGCACTGGACTCCATCCACATTAAGTCTACCCGTCCCGCATCCGTAGCAGATCATATAGATCATAAGCCTGCAGGCTTGATTCCTTCGCCTTATCGCGGAGAGTATCCTTCAGTAGCAATCCCCTTGGGACGAGCAACCACACTCACACTCATCTGGATCAGTAGTCTCTTCCTATGGACTACTCAAGATTACTTTCTCACACCATCTTAGTGGTGGTACCAGGAGAGATACTCCCCCCAACTGTGATTAGACAGAGTTGTCAGCTTATACGACTTACCGGCCCTAATATTTCATGGTCACCTACTTGGAAATCTCACAATGTCTTAGATCTTTCACATTGTTTTATACTTAATAATTGGTCAAGTAAATTCATGTATCAGACTATATGGTAGCAGTAGCATAATAGTAATTGATAGTACAATACACTTCACTTGACAGCTTTTAACAGCTCTCAGTAGCCCCTAGGAGCTACTTGTGGGAATGTTATGTAACAAATACCTGTTATGGCAAAAACATATTTTCCTGATGTTCTCACTTCATAAGCTAAGTTTTCTATTGTTTAGTTGTGTTTATAGTTTTCTATTAGTTTCTGTCTCTTTCCATTTTTCCAAGCTTATTTAGCCACTTAGATATGTTTGTAAGGATTCAGCTTGACTCATCATGTTTTGTCATTCTTCCCCAATCTTTGTAATATTTTATTCATGTACTTTAGTAAGCAGCTGATTCAGCACACCAAAAGGCTTAGTTTGTAAGTATATTTTTACCAATTTAGTAACGAGTTATGCTCAGTAAGGATAGTTTTCAGAATGTATTTAAGGACACCAATCTTACCAAATAAATAAGTTTTTCCCATTTCATTCTTGTTTCTAACCATGAGGATCGCAAGAATCTGAAGTATGGAATCTGAAGTGTGGAGTTTTCCTGCTTTCTGTCTCCAATATATGAGATCCAGAAGAAAGTGAAGGTCTTTGAGTCACCTTTGAAAACCATTGTATTTTGTCAATTGAGTTGTTGTATACTTGTATACTATCTTACAGAGTAGTGTTGCCAATGGTTCGGCTAGGTTCAGTGAGCCGGAAAAGCCGAGCCGAATTTTAGCTGAGCTGAGCTGACTAAACAGCTTAAGTAATTTGTTGGACTTTGAACCGAAGTTTACGGTTTCCTAAAGCTCGGCTGCAGTCGAGTCTCCGGCTAATTCCGATAATGGAAATGAATCGTTCGACGTTGTCCAGCGCATGCAACATGCTCTACGCACCAACAGAATGCTCGTAACGAGCGCCACATGAGTCACGGTGAGTGCAACGAGTGAGGTACACTCAATTTTACTGAACTATTGCTTTCTAGTTTACTTATCATTGTCGGTCTTGGCCAGATCTCAGTGATCTCACATATCCCACTCCAAATCAACGACAATGTCTCGCGACCTACCATTGGCCGACAGGGCATGTCGCGGTTTACCTTAGTCCACACTGTTGAAGTATTCCGTCTGTGAGCCCGTTTTGCCACCTCCCTCCTGCAGAGCACTTAAGTCTAACCTCGTGCATCATCTATGCAGTTGCTGGTGTTCGCAACTTTCTACCAAAGCCACTCGTGACACCTCGCTGCAAGCTCTTCCTTCTTGCGCCACCATTCCCCTTTGTACCGCAGTATATCCACCCTCGAAACCAAGATCCTCAGACCATAAACGGTAAGTGACTCTCCAATTTTCATCGTGATATTATTGATTGAAAGTATGTAGACTCGCTGAGATGATGCATAATCTGATGGAGATCTCCCTCGCCCCAAGTGTTCCGGCTTCCCTTCGCGTTATCCTGAGCAAGTACAATATCATCATCCGCCTCTGGACACACGCATTCCATAAACTCCTCGAGGCCTTGAGACGTGCCTCGTTTTCCTTGCCCCTAGCTCTTGAACACCTTCAAGATTTTATATATTATGCCTACACCTTCTACACCAGGCTTCTTGAGGAGCCCACCCTGTGCTCGTTCCGACCCGGCTGGCTCGAAGCTCTTGGCGATCTTGCGTGCTATCGTATGACCGTGGCCGCAATGGTTACCAACAATCAATTGAAAGGCTCGGCGCTAACCACAGATGCTGTTTCCAAAGCGGCCGCGGCATCCGCTGATGGCAAACCTGTGACAGCCAAGAGCAAGTCGCAGATGAGCGTCAAATCATCTTCTGATTGTCCCGCTGCGCAGGTTGATGACTCGCCGAGTCCGAGCATTGGCGTTGTTGCCGCACGTATGATGGATGTTGAGCCAGAGAAGCAACTCTTGCATGGTCTGTCGTAGCAGATAGAGTTTTTGTATCTACTACGCTGGTCAATCCTAACTTTTTGACTCTCGAGTCTTTTCAATTAAAGTTTATGGAGTCTGCATGGGAGGTCGTGGTTTTCGGGACTTGACAAGCTAATGATCCATCTAGGAACACACGGATTTTGACAGCATGCTCGTGAGTTTAATCTAGCATACCATGAGTTGCAATGTGCTAATTCGTTTCGGAGCTTAGAACAGCCACTTGAACGTAAAAAGTCGTCCGCATCTTTACATGTTGAGCGCTATGTGTCTTTAAATTGGTTGGTCTATGACTCAATGATTGGTGAGGCGTCTCTGAGTCTCAATCATGGCATATTTATGGCCCGCAATTCAGGCAGCTTGGTCTCGATATCGCCTTGCATCACATCCTGACTTATCATGCCTGATGCAAGAGGTGGCCGTAGTCGTCGGGGCCGTGGTCGTGGCCGTGGTCGGGGTTGCAGTAGCACACTCACACTTCCAAATGGTGCCCTCCAGACGACCTTTCAGGTCTGCCAATCTCTTGGCGAAGGTTAGCTACGTGATACCCAGCGAGGTGCATTGATCCTCACCATACATTTTCCAGACTTTACTGCCGCAATAGCTGCAGTTCCGGAAACCCCCAAGCCCCCGCCACAGCTTGTGGTTCCGTCGATACAGCCTCCCATTCAGCCTCTCATCTTTACTGAACCTCATGTGGCTGGTGGGCATGAGCTTCCATCTCGTCGGCATCATACTGTGACATTTGCTGACCTGCCAGGCATTGGACTTTGTGAGACGAGAGGTTTGAGTGACGGAGCTCCTCCTTCGTCGCCTGCTGTCATCCCCACAACTCCTGTGCGTACTCCTGCAATGCAGAGGGTTCCTGTAACCCCTCGGTCCATACACCGTGTAAGGGCAATGCCATCAGGCCTTACTCCACGTGCTGGCCGTCATAGCCACAATCATCGCAAATCGACCTCGACCTCGACGAGCAAGCGAGCTAACGATGTCTGGACTTTTTACCAACGTTCATTAGAGAAGAATGAGTGTATATTCTGCGAGTAAGTTAATGCATGGCTTCGAGATAGCAAACTGACAAGATATACTCGTGTAGGCGACTCAAGAAGCTGGCCAACTCAAAGCAGAACTTTGTGCTTCATACAGCCCCACAACTACGACGGGGGTCCTGCGTCGCCATCTATATGAAATTCATGCTGACATGTGGATCGCTGCTTGTGATCAACTTAAGATCGTGATCACAGCAAAGTGTGCTCAGCCAGCTATTGGCTTATACCGAAAACACCATTCAGGGACTCGTGGACCTGTTAACGACAACATTCCACGTGCAGCGTTCTCGCCAGCAGCATTTGTTGATGCCATATTGGAGTTTGTTGTTGGTGATGATATTGTAGGTTCATTGAATCGGTTGTCTGTGTGGTTGACCTCTCATCATTTTCGCACTTGATAGTCACTGAATGTCATTGAGAGTCCACGTTTGCGAGCCATCTTTTTGATGCTGCGTCAAGAGTTAAACGACTCGGATATTCCGCGTCGCACCACGCTGAAGAACCGGCTTGTGGACTCCTTCAATGAATATCTGGATGTGTTGGCATCGGAAATGGCGGTATGCTTCGTGTTTTCCATTTAGCCTGCATTCTGATTGTTGTACAGGGTTCTCTCGGCAAGATCTCATTGACGATGGACTTGTGGTCCGACATCAACCTCACACCTTTCATGGCAGCGACGGCCCACTGGATCCAAGCAGTCAAGAATAATGAACTCGATGGTACTACAAAGCATGCACTGAAATTATGTGCTGACTTGATCGGGTTTCACTGTGTCCCTGGTCATCATAATGGGGAGCATATTGCCTATGCATTTCTGTATGTCTTGGATCGGATTGAGATAGCTGATAAGGTTTGTTTTCGATGTCATCAGTGTCATGTGTACTGTCACGCTCGTCATACAGATTGGGTGGATCACTATGGACAATGCAGCTAATAATGACACCTTCATGAATCACTTGGAGCGTGAGCTTACTCGCCGCAATATCGTGTTTGATCGAAGGCTACGTCGTATCCGGTAGGAGGTCAGAAATTCACTGATGATGCTTGATCACTCACGCTCAGCTGTTACAGATGTTTTCCCCACATCGTCAACTTAGCTTGCAAGGCTGTACTTGGGGCAATTACAAACCTCAATTTTGCCAGTCAAGATGCACCCGATTTTATTCCCAGTGCTCCCCCTGGTCTCGAATCACGGAGTTTTATGGATGCTATTGATCGTGATCCTATTGCCACAGTTCAAACTGTGGTTCGTGTTGTAAGTCTCATTGTAATTATATCTGATGACTTATGGTTGAATTTATGCAGATTCGAGCATCATCCCTCCATCGCCAGTATTTTACGAGCATCCTTAATGCTTTGAAGCAAAAGGACCTTCAATTGCTTAGAGACATTGACGTTCGTTGGTCTTCGACCTTACTAATGGTTGAACGTGCAATTTTATTGCGTGAGGTAAGTGTTTACATGCACCCTCCGAGCCATGCTCTCTAAGTCGCAGCCATCAGGGAATTGATAGATTTTTGTCGAGTGACAGCTTTCCCGAGTTCCAGAAGTACAAGCTTGGAAGCAGCGAGTGGGATGCGCTCGATGTGTTCCGCAAGGTCCTTAGTGTGCGTTGTTGGAATTTGGGTTTTGTACGCTGCCTCACCATCATTCTATAGGTCCCACATGCTTTTCAACAACGGTTATCGGCTGAGAAAACTCTGACATTGTGCAATGCTATTCCAGCATTTGAGGCTATGGTGCGAATATGGAGTAAGCAGTTAGATGACGACCCCGATCTCGCTATTGTAATTCAACCGGGGCTCAACAAACTCAATGATTATCGGTCACGCATTGCTGATGTTCCAGCATATGCTCTTGCTATGAGTCAGTGTTCATATTCTCTCGTGTTCATGGGATTCCTGACGAGTTCTTGCCAGTGGTCAACCCCGCGATAAAACTCAACTGGTTTTCATCACATGCCCCCGAAAAGATACAATGGGCAAAAGATCTACTGTTATCTGAGGTGATAGTGCTCTACTTGTAATATTCATTACATTTGCTGACTAACCAAATAGCTTCGTACCTACAAATGCATGCCCGATTCAAGTGTTGCTGTTGTCGAGACAGACACATCAGAAGATACTTGGGCTGAAACCATACTGGGCATAGCCACGACTCGTCAACAACCCTTGGATGCTCAATGAAGCTTGCAAGACGAGGTTGATGCCTATTTGCTCGACTCCCAGATCAGTAACTTGAATAGTGCTCTGATTTATTGGAATGTACGTGGAATACTGTGTTGAAAACTTGTGTACACTAACCCAGGCTTACTAGGACAATCAGCTTCGATATCCAACACTCTTTTCTCTTGCCATGGATATTCTTCCTGTGCAGGGTTCTGCTGTGCCTTGTGAAAGAGTTTTTTCGTCCAGTAAAGAGACTATCACCATGCGTCGGAACCGTTTGAGTCCGGAGCTTATGGAAGCACTTCAGATTCTCAAGTTTTCGATCCGACATGGGCGCGGCCTAAATTTTTCAGAAGGAACAGATCGTGCAACAGTGTTGCAGGAAATGGAGATGTCGACAAGTGATGCAACTTCGATTCCAGAAGATATTGCTGCCTTTATTGATAGCCTAGTAGTGGACGAGGACTTGTACAACGATAATTAATCTTAATTTGGTAATGAGCCGCTGGCTAACCGGCTGGCTTCCTATAACTGCCTCGAACCGGTCCAAGCAAAACTGGTTCAGATCAAGTCTGAAATTTTGTAAGGGTAAAACTGGACATAGCCGGTCCGAGCCGAACTGAGCCGAACCATTGGCAGCACTATTACAGAGATTGCCTATACAATCATCTATTTATTTTATTTGAGTTTTACATATTCTAGTCAACAATCTTGCTTTTACAAGAAGTGAGACACAATCCATGAGCCAGCAGAACACCAGGATTATTCTATTCAAGGGAGAGGTAACTTGTTTATTCTTTGACCACCCACGAATACCACACCACATAATCAACTGAGAAGTAGAAAATCTGTTGACTATGAACTTGAGGAGCTGGCAACTTTTGTCTTATCAAAGTGTAGTTGTATTGTCACTGCATTTTTTACACACTTCCATATAAGACCCTCAAGTAAAAAGACAACAGTTACTGTTGAATGTTGACTTTAGCTCTGCTGCATAGGTAACACCATTAAAAAGTGAAGTGTACCATGCATAATAAGTGTGCTGATGACCTCATGCAGCCTCCGGTTTTCCTTCTTTGGTGTTGTATAGATGTAGTCATACCATGTGTGGGAATGTGGGTTGAATGTAAGTGGCTTGAAATTCTCAATATATGCATAGGAGTTTTAAACCATTTCATGTAGGAGATTAATTTAGAGTTTGAGGTGATTTTATCCCACCATTCTTTAGACTAACCATGCTCTTACAGTCTGCAACCATTACCCAACAACCACTACATATTCTCAGGTGAGCTTTCATTGCGGAACATGTCAATCACTATAGCTAATATCAAGCATTGTAATATAGCATAATGAACATGCCAGTAGAGTATTACTACTACAACTAAGTAGGTTTGAATATTTCAGACCACAGCCTTTATGCTAATTCATCACTGGCAGGTCAATATGCCAACTAAGCTATGGAAAGGGCTGGTAGAGATCCCAAGTGAATGGTCCCTGCCCTGTATGTATTAATCAAGGATAAAGTGACTGCAGTATGTGTGCAGACTCACTCAAGAACACCACAAATACTATCCAGCAGTAGTGCAAGCTTTTGATGAACCCACTAAAGAAGTTTTTTGTGTCAAGTGTAGAGCCTGTCTTGGTTGTGGTTGAGGCATTGAATGAGAGTGGCGGAATAGGGCCCTAGTGTATGTGATTACCATTGAGATCAAAATGATGATTAACTTCTTATAGCAGCAGGAGTCTTTCAAAGTTCGTTTGAAGTGTCCTCGAGTCTACATGTGATTCAGTGGCTACAACCTCGTACATATAGAGATGTGCCCTCCTCATCCACACTGCCCTTCTTCATGCTGTCCTCCTCATACATGCTGCCCTCCTCATACATGCTGCCTTCTTCCTCCACACTGCCCTCTTCCTCTTCCTCCTCTGCACTACCCCTCTTAACCCTGAGGCTGACACAATAGCAGTCTCATCCCAGCATCTAGCCCCATGAACCCAAAGCTCGGTGTTATTGCCATGTCTCTCAGCTGGGTTTGACATGCACTGAGGGTAAAAGAATAAGAAAGATGATGAGCCTGTGTATAGTATAACCCTGGAAGTTATTATGAGGATCATCACTGATACTGTGTATATGAATCCCACATGAGGCTTTGTAGCATCTCCACATATAATGACTGCTACATATCCTCATGCAAATGTAAGGCCATGGATCCCTATCAGGTCTGTAGAAGTGATGGCACTGACTTTCAACCAAATGTCAGTGAAATAACCACAAATTATTTGACCCCACTCACATCACAAACAAAGAATAGATAGTGAAATATTGGCCTCTGCAGTCAGCTAACCAACAGGTCCTGAATTGCTCCAGAACTTTGAACTCTGTCCTAAGGTCATCAATACTGTGTATACCATTGAGGTATAGGTCCCTGGTGTTATCGGATGGATATGCAGTGAAAGGTTGTTGCATGGAGTGAGTGGAAGATGAACTATAAGCCATAGCTGCATGACCACCCCTTGTATCTGTGATATGATATAAACAATGCAAGTATGACTCACCTGATGACTTAGCTGAAGAGAACAAAAGCTGGGCCACAAGCAAGCTGGTGACATGTACCATGGAAGTTGGTGGTAAATTAAATATGTGTGGTATGGAACTTGCCGGTGTGGGTGAGGAAATAGGAATGCGAACTCCGGAGAGTCACAAGAATATCTACCTCGAGAGGCGAGCTAGTAGAATCGTCCCTTAGGGGATGCTACTGAGTCGATCTCTCTAAATGATGAGAGGGATTAAGAGAAAGGCTCAAGTCGGAAGGTGCGCGAAGGCGCGCGGGAACGCGCGAGGCTGATGTGATGAACGTGCGGAACGCGCAAGCCGTGCGGAAGGGTCGGAACGCGCGCGGTACGTGCGCGATGGGAGAAGAGTTGCAGAGGATCGTAGGAGCTCCCTTTGGATGAGGAACGAGACTTCACAAGACAAAGAAGATGATAGACAAAGACTGCAATGATATTAGCGCTCTAAGCGCGACTAGACAGAAAACTGATAGTGAGTCCAAGTAAGGGAAAAGTAAGTAAGTCCGAAATCCTCTGAGTCTTCTAGATATGTAGGTCGCTACGCGAGCTCTCAGGGTATTGAGACGTAAGGGAAGCGGATAGGCTGCGCGGAAGCGCGCAAGGAAGCGGATAAGTATGTAACACTATGTAAAAGACCCTGGATGTGGTCAGAGGTCGCGCGTGTTGCGCGCGACTCTATTGGACTGCGCATACATGAGGATAGTGATGAGGTCGATGTATATATCAGGGGATACGAGCCTGTAGGGATATTACTCCCTACACCGGTACCACATGAGGGTAATTTGTAAAGGAGTCTGAGTCGCTATGTGTATAATGGCAAGGCCACTAAAGGGACTGGATGTAGGGTCTGTCACTTGTCAAAGGTAGGAGCACATACAGGAACTAACTTGGAGTTCAAAGCAGCAAATTCCCTCATTTGAATGTCAGAAGAATTGGAGCGTAAACAATATAGACTAGATTCAAATGTGACTTGTTTTTGAATAAGCTTGTCTTGCATAATCTTTTTGTACTGGAGCCATTTTGCACATTGTTCTGTGTTGGGGTAAATTTCCTGTGTAATGTAGTCCATGAGTTTATCATAGATGAATCGAAAATTTGTAACACTGAATTCCCGGCTGCGACCCTCGAGCACCCCCTCCAAGAAAGAACATGCAGTGGCAGTGGAAAAAGGCCATCTAGACTCTCTTCAGAAACCAGGGCTGGTGAATTGAGTGAGGTCGAGCTGGCTGATGGTCTCCAGCACAATGTCCCAGATGACTTGGTGTTCAAAAGGAGAGCTGTGTTTGTCAAAAATGAAAAGCAAAGACACAATGCTGTGGGTATCTTCCAGGTCCATTTCTTGCTGAGGCTTCCTAATGAGCTCCCTCACCTTCCTTTGGGTGAAATCCTTTTCATCAGCAGTGTCAGACAAGCGTGCTTCAGGTCGCAGGCAATACCCTCGTATGCAAAGGTATTTCGCTAGGCTCCTGCATTTCTGCATGACATGTGACATTGGACTCGCTACTTCCCTGTATACCTTCCTAAGTGTATCTTGAGCCTAGGAAGTTGCTTCCTCTGCTCACCCCAAACATGACATTAGTAATGTCAAACTGTGAATATATTTTGTACCTGCCTATGTCTGTCTGATCTTCAGAGTTCAATTGGAAGGATGCTATGGCAAGTTCCTTCAACTTCTCCTTCACCAGCGCTTCTCTAGCCCTCTGGTCAAGGAAGGGTGTGATTCCGACAGCGTGATGTAAGATTTCGGAGTAAAGGGCGTCCAGAATGTTTTTGTAGACATTGATAGTGTCGGGATCAAATGGGGCGAGCTTGTGTGGATTTTGGATGACACAAGGCTGCTTTCCCTTTTTGATTTCTGAACCCTTCCCTATGGTAAGATGTCAATAAGCTTTTGATGTTAACACTAGTAGTACTCACTATAAATTTCCTAGACATTTTTTCCCCACCTCTGGAAAGTGGACAAAGGCCCATTGGTTGCTACTGTCCTTCTCTTTTTTTGGGGTCTGTTATGACTGTTGTCATAACTTGATTTGTGGGCAAGGGCACCTCTTCCGAAACTATCGTCTGATGAGGAGTGGCGTTATAAGTGGGAGGATCGTGAGCAAAGGTATCATGGGTAGGAGCATCGTTAGGGGGATGGTAAGCTTCATCCTCAGCCAATAGATTACTTGGAGGGGGAGCATCTCCATAAGGACTGTTGAATAGATTGAATAGAGGATGATTTCCGCTCTCAGGATGTGTAGGAAGGATGGTCATAGGCCTGTGATGGGAAGGGAATTGAAGGGAGTAGTCATAGGAAAAAGGAGCATAATTGTAGCCCTCTTGATCTGGTTGAGCCGCTGGTGGAGGAAGTGGCTGATGCACTTGGGTATAGTTGAGGCCTTGGCTGTTTGAACTAGAGCCTGACACAAAGTTTGTGGTCTGCACATCATATGGCGGATATGAATTATCATTGAGTTCATCCTCAGAATTGGAGAGCTGCCAGTAGCTAGAGGCATCCATGATGATTGGGAGGGCAGGGGAGACAGAGCGCTGTCATGCATGAAACGAAGATCATACATTGACATTCAATAGGATAAGGGTATACTAGTCAAAAAGCTTTTGCTTTAGACTAATTACTCTATGTTGAGGCAAGAGAAGTTAAAAGTGGCAGAAAGCTCGCGTTTCGTTTACTTCTGTTTACATTTATCTTTGTTGACTTTCTTGCTTCTGTTTCTCTTGTTCTTTTTTATTTGTGCACGTTATGTGAGCTTCAGCCACAATCTGAGCTTACATAACATGTAATTAACCCTAGGAGAAGTCATGTGACTCCAGAATTGAGTCATTTGATCTTGGACGATGTCACTCGATGTCATAACTCCACAATGATGTCATTTGATGTCATAGCTCCACAATGATATCATTCAGCTTCACTTTGCTCCACAAATGCTCCACACTGCTCCATAGTGATGTCATTTGCTGTCAAATGAGTCAGAATGAGTCATTTTCCTCCTTTGGTGTTCTTTCCACTTCAATTCAGCATTTTATGCTACAACTACCTTATTTCTTCTGAGATTTGTGTCTCTTTCTATTTTCTTGGTACTATACAGTTCCTGGGATATTTCCCACACCAAATGTATATAAGGAGGCTCAATTCTCTGAGGAGAAATGAGAGACTCCCCATATTGGAGATTTCCCACTTCACATCTATCATCTGAAGTGCAGGCTGAAACTGACAGCCTTACTACACTAAGATTTGATATAATCTTAGTCTTGTGTTATCTTTACTGTTGTTAGGGGCATTTAGTCACCCTAACCTTCTTTTCTAGTCCTTTGTTGGTCTAGAACTGCTGTTTCCTTGCTTTGATTAAGTTAGCAAGGATTTGTCTGGGAAAAGCTTAGTCAGCATCCCACACAACCCATATCTTTTGTTCAAGAGCTATTTGGACAAAACACTCTTCTGGAGATATTCTTGCTTTGATTATGTCAGCAAGGATCTGTCTGGGAAAAGCTTAGTCAGCTTCCCAAATCCACACCACTAAGGACTTTTGCTCCATACCAAAGGTCCCTCGTACATCAAAGGATCTACGCACTTCAGCCAAGTGTTGTGTAGCGCATCCACTTGTATACTTGTCCAAGGACCATTCAGACAAACCATTCATCAACGTAGTCTAGTCCATCTATTCTACGCAGTTCATCGTATCAGGCCTATCGTCTAGGTCTATCCACCCATCCAAAATCAAACCCCATTCCAAGAACCAACGACAGACTGTATAGTTGAGCCTCCCACGAACGACACGTTATCAACCGAGAAAACTAGAAAATCTGTTGACCGTGTACTTGAGGAGTTGGCAACTCTTGTCTTATCAAAGTGTAGTTGTGGTGTCACTACATTTACACGAAAACATATAAGACCCTCAAGTAGTAAGACAGCGCAAGAGAGACAGGGTGGCAGCTAGTTTATGGAAGGTCTTATTGGCTTCAATCAATTGATCAACAACAACATTTTCTTGAATTGGCAAGTGTGATAAGAGGCGCGTGTAAAAGTACCTAAATTATGTCCACAAGGAAGCTGAGGCCAGGAGGCAGGCGAGAGATAATGGATAATGGATAATAATCAGATACATAATTAACACACTTTGAATTGAATTGCAAGGAGGGATTAATCAGGGGGTGATCATCAAAGATAGGAGACACTTACCCAAGAGTTAGGTGTTGGCAGTTATTCCATATTGCAACTTCTCTTTAACACGAGGCTCAGAAGGCTGTGTCCTTTCATGCCTTTGCCTCCTTTTGCCCCAATTGCTACTGTTACCCCAATTGCTGCTGTTGCACCGACTGCTACCATTGCCTTGATCACATTGTTGCAAAAGCCTCAGTTCAAAGCTTGAACGATCCACAACTCTCTTATCTGCAGTCAAAGCTCCCCTGGAATATTGAAGACCTGTAGAAGTACCTGGCCTAGTAGCTTGACGATCAATTAGCATGTTCATGAAAAATCTCACGCTCTGCCATGATGGTCTCCAGTTTGGTATCAGCATATAGAGACTGAAGCAATGTGGTCAATTTCTCTGTTTCCCCAATCTCCAAGAGGGAACACTGGAGGCGAGATTTCTTGCAAGCATGAACCGCTTCCTTGTAGTGAACGGCATGGTGGAAAGTGTCTTGGGAAAGCCCCTTTAGGCCCTCCAGAAACACTTCCATAGTCTAGAAATGTGTCTTAGATCATTTGAGGCATAATATCCAGACATAATAGGGCTGACCTTTGGAGTCATTTCTTCTGTATCTTCATTGGCTCTTCTACCCATCATTTTATCAAAGACATGTTCATTTTCAAAAGATGCTGGACGGGGGTAAGGGTGAAAGGATTGTGTTTGTGAAGTCTTGGGACCTCTCGGAGGTGATATAGCAGCAGCACAGATACTGCTGTCATGGCTCTTGGACTCAGGCGTCAAAGGGAATATTTCCCTGTCATCTTCTGAAATGGTGCTAGCTGCTCAAACTATTGTTATTTTTCAGTGAATCCAAGTGATGAATAAATCATCATTACCTGACCTTCTGCAAGACAATGGTGAACTTGGGGGAGGGGGGCTGGGAGGAGATATGCTTGAATCATGATGAGCAGGGGTGTTGGTAAGACCTATGGTATGCTCAATAAGGGGAGAAGGTTATGATGTTAAATGGGGAGCAGAGCATGATTCAATAGTGTTTGAGTTCATCATGATGGGTTCAAAGCTTGGTAGTGCATGTACTGGGATTCTGGGAATCTAACGTAGGGCGGTGTGCAAAGGGTATGGTTGGTAAATAGACTTTGGTATTTAAAAGAACATTTCTGGTCTTGTTGTCATGATATTCAATCACAGACAAGTAAGATGACTGGCATCCTGGATATGTATTCAGTTTTAACAGATTGTCTCAGCTGTGGTCTCAACACTACCATTATTGTAGCCTCGTAACAAAAACATGCTGACTAACCATGAGAGTGGCAAAGATGAGCAAGAACTTTTGACAAGACAGAAATTTCCAGGTCATGTGACTGTTGAAGCACCAAAGTGGTCACAGTTGCTGACCATGAGAAATTTCTTGCTCATCTTTGCCACCCATGGCAAAGATAAGACCTTTTGAAAAGAAGGAAATTTCCAGGTCATGTGACTGCTGAAGCACCAAAGTGGTCACAGTTGCTGACTGTGAGAAACTTCTTGCTCGTGAAAGATGGGAATTTCCTTGTCACAGCTGTCACCTGTCACACAAGCTGGCAAGTCGGTGTGTTTGAACATACTAGAGACGCAACATGTTTATTGCGTGAAGTCAAGTGGGCATTGTCAGATGGTGGCCCTAAAGACTTCAGCCTTTCAAAATAAACATGGTCATTGGTGGGAGCCTGAATCAGAAGCAAATAAGTGGTTGATCACCTTAATAGTAGATGATAAAATGGCCCGGATCCTCAATGCAGCACAATTGATAGTACATGAGGGGAAGATCATCATGGTGAGGAAGCAAACAAGGGTGAAGCCAGGCTTTTGATTTGTTGTGGCACAGCTATATCATGTTTAAGTCCATATCAAAGTTACTATCATACTTGAATCACCTCTCACCCAGTGAAAACTGGACATGGCCAAATTTGAAAATGGAATTGCATAAAATAGAATATCATGGTTGTTTAGACATATTGATTATCCCATAATATTGCATAATCTTCAAACACACCTCTCAGTTCTGTGCATTCATATCATAAAAACACAGTCCATTTGCTGGTGTTCGTCAATCACATTTTTGGCCGACACAGCGTTTTCACTCGTCAATCAAAGTTTGATGAATCTCATTCAAGTTTCCTCGCTGTTCTTCTTCCCCACCATCATCTTTCCCCGCAGCTTGTCTGCCCTCGCTGCCTTCCTCTAGTGACAGTGATTTCGTGGATTTAGGTATGTTGTTGCTGCTTTTCGCAAATGGTATTGCCTCACTGTTTTCCCTACAGGCTTACAATGGTCCGTGATTGTGCTAGCCACTGATGATAAGTTTTATTTCACTCTCATTTTTCAATAACTTATGTTCACTCATAGCAACAGGAAAAGGTGTTAGACCACAGATCAAGGTATTTTAGTGCTACCTCTGTTGACAGATACTTCTGACACTTTCAAGTTGGTCTACAGTCTTACCATACTAGGGCCAAACAGCTGGTAAGTATGGCCTCTCTCTTTGCTATTGAGTCGCTGAGAATCACTAGGAATGAGACAAGGGCTGGACAAAGAATAGTGACATCACTGACGGCTCAATGTATTAGATGGTCGTCTGCTTCCGCTCTCGCCTGCCTCATTGCCTTATGGTTGTCTGCTCTTGCTTGCCAGCCATGTTACTGTGCTATTCTTGATGTTGCTGCATAACCCCCGCCACACTGATATCATCATATTTCACATTTTTTGATTGCCAGTCAAGTTATTTGTACCATTAGACTATAGCATAATTCACTTGAATACCGATTTTATTTTACATGCGCAACTGAAATCAATGTGGCCTGGGCTTTTATCTTGAAGCTTGAAGGGCTTTCCCGTCAGACATACCCTTTTTAGGCAGTGACCTTTTTCGTCAGGTACTAGATCTGCCACCAGGCCCACCACCCAGCAGCAACTTATTTAATGTGGCAGAGACTATAGTGGCATCCCCCTTCATCTGGGACTTGAGGTATAACTTTCTCATTCCCTCTATTCAACTTCCTGCTTATTCCTCCAGGATTTTACCGTGACCAGCTCTAGGAGCCTAGAGGGCTGGGCCGCTGCTGCCAGCATGTTTCAAGATCAGCCTTTTTTTTTTTTTTTTTTTTTTTTTGAAAAGCAAGTTTATTATATAGTAACCGACTCCGTCTGGCCCTACATAAAGTGCTTATAGCGACACTAAAATGTGTTGTCCGAGGGGAAATGCTACTTACACACACTCTATGATCATAGAGTAGTGTGGGGCTCTGTACGCTACCTGGTATCCTCGTTCTGCGGGGGCCTGGGTAGCTTAATACCCACTTAAACCTCTAGGGTGGTTACCCAGTCTTTTTGGAGGAGTGTGTTTGTGTTTGTTTTGATTACATCATTCCATGTGTTGTGGACTTGTGTTATTGTTTTCTTGTTTCGTCTATCTTTGCTTGCTATCGCTCTATCCAGTTGTAGTGTATTTTCTAATGTGTTAGTCCATCATTTTGTGATGATTTCGTTATTGTGTGACATTTCCTTGATCACTCTTTTACATCTCATGGTCCAGATAAGGTACACCAATTCCGAGATTAGGATGTGGAGTAGCCAAGCTGCCCCTCTTTTTAGTGTGGCTTTTTTTGTGTCATCTTTATTTTTTTTGTTTGGGGTATGTGGGAAGGTGATTGCGCCGCATCCCAGGACAAGTCCTAGTGTGGGGGTTGGCCATTGCCTGTATTTTTTGGGCCATATACATTTTGCTAGTTCCCATATTCTCTTTTTTGTGGGGTTGTCACATGTGATTAATACAGTGGCTCAAAAAAGTGTCCCAATGTTTGTCCAGTTTCAAGTAATTGAATGATGGTGAGCCAAGGTGTGTGAAACTGATGTGGCAGTGCAGACACATTTGGTAGTAATACCTTCTGGCGTGAATCTGAGCTATGTGGCATGGGAAACGGAGCTTACAGATTGGAGATATGATAATTCTACAATTGTGACTCATTGGGACACTTTTTTGACTTTGAGTTTAACAACTGCAATATTTATGATTCTGATGTTTGATGCTTCCTCCCTTACTTTAATCATTGCTACTAGTCTCATAAATATATTTTCCATCAATCCTATACATTTCTGCTTAAAAATATTCCCATACTTAGAGTTTAAAAGTCCAGTTGCAAGACCGAAAAAAGACCGCAACTGGACCAAAACCGGACCAAAAAAGACCGGACCTCGGTCGCCAGTTGCCTCAGGTCCAGAAAAGTCCGGTTGCAGTTGCCTAACTTTTGCAAAAAATGAAAGGCCGGTCCAAGACTGGTTTGAACCGGTCCATTGTGGGACCGGTTGCCTATATATGGGTAGTGCTCATTTAGGCGATTCTATTGGTGGTCTGATCTTCAACATTGGTTGAGATTTGGGAAAGTTACAAGCATTTTAAGAATGGCTCGTATAAATCTGTGGGGCGTGTTTTTAGGCTTGTTGGCACTGAACCAGGGATTGATTTCCAAGCTTAAAAACCTTTACCAGTGTGTTCGTAGACCTCAAAAATGGTATGGAACATCAAATTTAGATAACTCTTGATGATTTATCATGCTCCAAGACTAGCACAAAGATCAGACATGTTAGAACGGCAAGTCAAAATCAGTCAAAATCACTGATTGGCTCATAACTTACCCAAACCTTGAGTGTTCGACAAGATACGAGTAGCTATAGTATCGTGACTAGCAGCACATATTTCGTCAAGACACCTAACCCTTATAACAACTTTTATTTTTCAAAGACAAGCCTGATAACGATTTTTTGTCAAGCTTATATCTTGCTTATATCTTACCCTATTGACAATATAAGACTAGCTATAGTATCGCCTTGACTAGCAGCACATATTTCGTCAAGAAACTTAAGCATAGTAATGACATTTCATATTTGACTCACATGCAGGGCGGAGTTTAGGAACTTTTTTATAATGCTCATATCTTGCTCAGATATTAACTGTTTACTACAAAAATTAGACCGTTGGAATCGTGGGAAGGGGTACTACACTGCCACAGGACCGGTTGTGGTGGCAACCGGTCTAAAACCGGTTGCAGGACCGCAAAAGACCACAAACATCGGTCTTCATGGGTCCAGTCCAGGTTCGCTGATATCGTGGGAATAAAAAGACCGGTCCTGGTCCGGTTGCCTCCAAATAAGGCAAAAGACCGGACTTAACCGGACTTTTAAACTCTAGTCGTTTGACACTATCCCTATTGGCCAGGACCATCTGCCGGGGCCAATGTGAGGGAGGTTTGGTGGTGCGTATCTTACCGTGACCATGTGGTGGTCAGAGGGGATTTGACATATTTGTGAGTCCCAGTTTATGAGGCTTTCAGAGTGTTGATCTGACGAGTATATTCTGTCTAGCCGGGACATGGTGTTGTGGTTACTAGTAAATGTGAACATTCTTTGTTGAGGGTATGTTATCCTCCAGGTATCTTGTATATTTAGGGCTGATCTCAGGTCTCTTAGGGTGTCTATTGCTCTTTTGTTATCAAAGCGGGCAGGAGCTCAGTCTATGGGATCTTCCGTAAGGTTGAAGTCACCGGCCATGAAGTCCATTTGGCCAATATCGTTTCTTTGCCATTCTGTTTTTACCTTCTCCCAAAAGGAGGGGTGTTCACTCATGTCATTCGGTGTGTATATGTTTAGAATATTTATATTTTCATTGTTGTGCCACTTTAGGGAGAGTGCGGCTGCGCGTCCTGGGATTAGTATTTTCATTTTGGCTGAGGCGGTATTGGTGAGTTCTTTGTTAATTACAAAGGCCACTCCGGCTGAACTTCCAGGGCAGGTGGGTTCGTTCATGTTTAGGACCATCAGTCTTCTCGAGAATAGTGTCTATCTGGGCTTGGTGTTCGGTGGTTAGGTGAGTTTCCTGAAGGCAGAGTATGCCAATCTTCTTTTCTCACATAGTTTGGTTGACGGCAGGCCATTTGGAGATTTGACCTGGGCCTAGTTCATGGGATGCGTGTCCTTTGATATTGAGGGTTCTGATGGTTATGTTCGCTCTTGTTTTCTTGTCGGTATTTATGGTGGCCATTCTCATTGGCTCGTGTGCTTGTTGGCGCTGGGGGGGGTATGGTATTTGTGTTTGGGGTTTGTTGTTGCCCTTAGTTTTGGGTGATTCCACTTCCAAGACCTTGAGGCGGGTCATCAGAGGGCCTCCCAGTGGTTTGAGGTGGCCCTCCTCCTTGCCTCGGGGGGCGTGCACCGAGACCAGAAAAAAGACCGTAATGGGGGGGGGGGGGGGGGGGAGTATGTTGGGGGTTTAGCGTGATCGTAGTGCTAATGCTATCATACAATCATGATGTAGCTTAGGACTGACATGGTCTGGTCAATCAGCAGTGGACTATGTTTTCATTTTCGAGGGATATTGAGTGCCCAAAACATTTGTATCGTCTACTAGTGAGAACTTCAGCCTCTCGGCACGGCTCGTCCGAACCTAAATAGATTTATGTGGTCTGGTATACACCATGTGTGGCGAGACTACTTTCGCTTTCCTGGTAGCGGTTCATGTCTCCTTTGAACCTGCCTTTAGAGTCAACATTTCACAATCCATTGGGTTTAGGGCCCAAGTCAGATCTGTTTTGTTTGTGGTTTGGCGGCCGGGTGCTTATTTGTTGTTTGGGATGTGGGGGGGTTCTCAAGGACATGTATATTGGTGGTGGTAAAGGAGTGTTGTGTAATGTGTGCATAGTAGTTGAGTGGGGCTACAAGGTATGTATAGTATTTATGGGTGTGCAGTGGCGGATAGGTGACAACGGTCTTAATGTGCGAGTTGGTAGTGTGAGAGGTTGGTGCTAGTTATGACATCCTCTTCCCAGGATTTTGCTCATGGATAAGATGTCGTTTATCTGGGCTCTATTGTCCTCGTAGGACCATACGTCCTTTACCGTTCGTCATACAGTTTCGTGGCCGGAGGTTGTGAAGCCTGAGACGCAGAATAGGAGGTTGGGGGGGGCGTTGGCAGCTAAAGGGGAGGGATTTGATTGTGATGTCCGTTGCGGACCATATGCGCTGGGTGACTAAGATGTCTCTTGTCTTGACTGATATGCCGTGGACAAGGAAGCATGTGGGGAATTCCTTGGCATCTTTCCCTCCGTGAGGTTAGGGCGGGGAGACGCGTACCGGGGGGGCGGGGGGGGGGGGGGCTTCTTGCTGGATGAAGTTGGTGATTATAGAAATGTTTGCTCTTATGTGTTTTGTAAGGACAGCGGCTGATTCATGGACCTTTTCCCGTGTAGTCAAAGACTCAGATTATGAGTTTGAGATATTTGACTTGGAGCCAGGCGAGAAGGACTTTGTTATCTAGGTGGTCGAATGCTTGAGCCGAATGTGACATGTGCGTCAGCGGGAATCTGCCAATTGGTACTGGGGTAAATTGGGGGAGCACAGTGATGTTGTTTGGTCCGTCATGTTTGACGACCGAACAGTTCCTTTCTGCGAGGGCAATGTGGGCCAGGATGGCCTGGTCTTCCTCAGATGGTGAGAAGGTGGGTTCTGTGGTAGCCGTTGAGCTCATGTTGGGATCTTCTACAGGGGCGGTGTGCGCATGTATGGAAAGAGCTAGTTTACTTCCCTCTACGGGGTGGGCATCCTTGGGCAGGTGGGCTGTGGTGCTGTCATGGCAGTGGGGTTTAAGGGAGGGGGGGGTGCACGAATTATTCTCACAGCGGGGGTTGGAGTGGGTGGGGAAGTGGGCGATGCTGGAGAGGGTGGTGTTTGCGAGGTGGATTTGTCATTGGGGTTTTTATACGTGTACACCTCTATGAGGTTTGTGGTTGGATTGGTATCTTGTTTGCTGGTGGTTTAAAGTCTTTTTATTTTATTTTTTGTGGTTTTTCTTAGTGGGCTGGAGTTTCCAAGTTGTCTTATGGGGGTTGTCTGGTGAGTATAGCAAGATTCTTCTTTGGTCTTGGGTTGGGCGTGGTTTGGGTTTTTTAAAGAGGGGTGGGTTGTATTATATATTATATTGAGAGGCCAGTGGGTGAGTGTGAGCGACTGTTGCTCAAGCTTGCCCACAAAATTGTGTGGGAAAAACCGCCATGGTAGTGGTACAGGTTCAAGTGCCTCCAGCCTTGTTTTTTAAATTACTATTTAAACAAGTGATTGACTTATTTCTTACCCGCTAACATGGTTCCCAAATTAGGGAGTCAACTACACAAGGCGCTGGGAAGCAGGTCAGTCCCCACCACAGTATAAAATAGGATCCATCATATCACGGTTAGTAGTAGTCCCCATCCCCTCTGGATAGCATCACTGCGGCTGTCACAGCTGGCCTGCATCTTTAATATTGACTCTTCTCATCTCTAGTATATCCTATCTAACTATCCAGGGCTTGGAGTAGAACATGGCTCATGTCCTTGACACTGAAGAAGGCGTTGACGGGGGCTACCCTCCATGTTGGAGTCAGTCTACTCAACCAACCCAACTTGAAGAGGCATCAACAGATGCACCATCTTCTAGAGAGGCTAGACAGATGAAAAAAATTGCCCAACTGGAGGGGAAGCTGAAGATCCTAGAATCTGGTCGTGCAGTAAAAGACAGGTAGTAGTCCTTCAACTTAGCTTTCTTTATGTCTTTATGTCTTTACTCACCACTGATATGAACGACTGTCTACAGGCAAATGAACTATTATGTTGCTCAAGGAAGAGCCATTAGACATGTTGTCAGTTTGTTTGACAACATTGAACAACTTATTAGCAAAAATGACAGAAGGTACTATGAAGAGGAGGGTGACATTACTATCGAGTTGGTTTTCCATCCTTAATATTTGAATGTTGTTGATCAGTTTGTTTATATCTTGCTAGTCAAGAATGTTTGCAGTCAGGATATATTACTCTATTACACACACTGAAGTGGTTTGAGAAGAAGACATCGGACATGAATCATGAAGAATATATCCAAATGTTAAAAATGGTGAGTGTTTCTACCTCCGCAGTTGCCTTGGTAGTGACAAGTCTTTCCTTAGCTTCACCAGGGAGCTGATGGTGTCAGAGGAGATGATACCTCTAAACTCAAAGCTCTTGTTGCAGAGTGGGTCAATGGGGAATTCAAGCCAGATCCACGCCTTGATCCCGATGATAAGCATTGCCATGGATTCATGAATGAGGCTTGCGGCAGGATGCTTTACCCAACCGAGCTTGATTGGAATAGTGAGACGTAAGTACTGAGATTCAAATTAATGCTAATAATTTGCCAGTGTAAAGGCAGAGATTAGAAATCGCACATCTGGTCATATTATGACAGATCTCTCTTTTCCTACCTTCCTGTACAAAAAGTATACTGCCAACATAGACAATTTAGAGGAGGGTCTGTTTAAGGGTAAAATTCTAGTTCAGGTTTGTTTTATTTAAACAACTCTTCATATTTCTATTTCTCACAATTTTGTAGGCGTACAAGGCGGTCTTCATGTCTCCGTCCTCAGCAAAGAATGTTGAAGGTGATGGTGATGGAGCAGATATCATTCAGAACAGCTCAGAGGAGTTCCTCTAGACTCAAGGTCAAGAAACATGTTGCTCGCATCATTCAGATGAGGAAAGTCACTCCACACTCTGTTGCATATATAGCATGTCAAGTGAGTGGTCACAATAGTACAGTGGCTCAAAAAAGTGTTCCAATGTTTGTCCAGTTTCAAGTAATTGCATGATGGTGAGTCAAGGTGTGTGAATATGATGTGGCAGTGCAGACACATTTGGTAGTAATACCTTCTGGCTTGAATCTGAACTATGTGGTGTGGGACACGGAGCTTACAGAGCGGAGATATGATAATTCTACAGTTGTGACTCATTGGGACACTTTTTTGACTTTGAGTTTAACAACTGCAATATTTACAGTAATGCACCGTCACTTGCGTTTCCACCATCACTTGCGTCGATGCACAACAACATTGTCAAATCACATTATTTAGACACAATTCTTGCTGATGTATTTTCATGGCATGTAGAGCTATGTATGGCTAGTATAATATCTCAAATCTGCCAGGAGGAAAGGTCACGATGTTGCAATTTATAGCTGAAATTTCACTTTTCTGTACATAGCACCTTTGAATGATTTTTGTGGTGCACTCAAACTTCATATATAAATGAAGATTACCTTTACTGACATCTGACATGTGTTGTTTGTAAGGATCATAGCATTCCTGATGTGCCAGTTCAATGCCGGTGAAGGGTTACACGAAACTTCACAATCAACGAGTTATCATATCTAAGTATGTTATGCATGACAAATATTAGCTAAATCAGGGTGGGCACATTAGGATCTGGCACGTCACGTACTAACAAAAATCTTTCCTACAAAACGCCTGGTATTGCCCGCTCTGTAGCAAAGAAGCAACAGATGGCTCGTGCTGAGCAAGAAAAAGCTTATGCAGAGGCGATGAAAAAATACCGTGATGAGCAGAAGAAGCCTGAAAGCAAGAGGAAGAGCAGAAAGGCCATTTGCAGAGATGTTGTGGAGAAGTGGAAAGCGATGAAAAAAACTGTTACTGTCAGTGCTGATACACTTCAACAAAGGCTCGAGGGAGGACGGACCTGTGGTCAGTTCAATGCAGAACAAAATTTGTGGCTTTCACCTGAGGAGGAAGAGAGTGTTGTTGCATACTGTATTGAACTCAGAAACCGAGGATTCCCTCTCAATCACTCTCGACTCAAGTTTCACATCGACATGCTCCTAGAAGCTCGCCTTCAGTCCAACTTCCCAAAAGGTGGGGTGGGAAAGAACTGGACCGAGTGATTCATTCTGCGCCATTCCGCACGTCTCAGTTAGTACTGGAGAAAACCTTTGGATACTGCTCGTGGACGAGCTGTTAATCCATCTACCAACAAAGCATGGTATGACATTTTGGGCAGGACCATCGAAACTGAAGATATTGAAGATGACTGCCTTTGGGCAGCTGACGAGACAGGCTTTCAGCCAGGCGGAGGACTCAAGGAGCGGGTAATCGGAGATGCAAATAGGAAGACTCAGCATCAACAGCGAGACAGAAATTGAGAAAATATCACAGTAATGGTTACCATCTGCGCAGATGGTGAAGAGATTCCTCCAACCATTATCTACAAGGGTCAGACTTTAATGACGAACTAGCACCAGGATAATACTTTGAATGCATCATGAGTGATTCAACACACAAACGAAAGTGTTTGCTTACCTCCATCAAGTGTTGCACATTCCCCGAAAGGATGGACTGATGGGGTCATCGGCCGTCTGTGGATTGAGGATTTTGACAAGAAGACTCGCGAGAAGGCAAACGGGCGAGCACGGCTTCTTATTGTAGATGGCCACAATTCCCACTACATGAAGGAATTCCTTGACTATGCTAGGGAGAATAAGATTCATGTCCTATGCTATCCGGCACATGCAACTCACGTGTACCAAGGTCTTGATGTTGTTGTTTTCGGACCACTGAAATGGTACTGGACACAGGAGAGAGATGCATTCAAAACTGAAAAACAACAGAAGGTTACCAAGGCCAACTTCGTGTCCATCTATGAAAGAGCTCATCATAAAGCACTCACCCCCAAAACAATTTGTGCTGCCTTTCGCAAGACAGGTGTCTGGCCACTTAACCCTAATGTTGTCACCAGCGACATGATGGCACCGAGCCTCAAAATGTCCTCAGTTGGGCTGTTACCACTGCCGCAACCAAGTCCTGTCCGCATCGTTGCTAAGGTCATGCATCAGTACCAAAGAGATTCAGTCTCCGTTAACGAGATCCTGCCTACCGACAAGGACCCATTATTATCACCTGTTCAGGCGTCAGCAGACTCTCCGAGATTGTCAAGTGCAGCTCACAAAGCTGTGACTGAATTGTCAGCGACATCAGCAGCATTCTTGGTTGCAGAGACACCCGTACATTCATCACACCGACTTCCAGCATTCGTTCTGACTCCGCTAACACCAACATGTAAAAGGAAACATGATCTGTTGGACTGCGATCCTGAATCGGAGAAGGAACGGATGGACCAAGAGGCACTAAGGGATGCATACAGACGTGAGTCCAAATACAAAAGTGCGCTCCTTGGGATGCAGTCAACAGTAGTCCCACAATCAATGTTCTGCGACCGCTTATCTAATCAGCTTGCAGCACAAGAGGAGAAGAAAAACGGCAAGAAAAATGCACCATTGGTGGGTGATGGGATACCAAGGTTACTCACTGGTGATGAGTTCTACAATCAAGTATCTGAGCATCGAAGAGCAGTAGAGGAGGAAGCAGCGGCAAAGGAAGTTCGTCAGATCGAAAGGGAGGGGAGAGCAGCAGCCATGGCAGTATGGAAGGAAGCGGAGGCAGCACGGCTGAAGAGAAACAAGGAACGTCGAGCCACATACAAAGAAGAAGTGAGGTTGTGGGAGGAGGAGAGAGATTGTGCCAAGGTCGAGAAGCGTCGACCAAGGTGGACAAAACCAAAACAGGGCAAATTAGAGTCGCCAATACCTAAACCGACTCTTGACGATGTTGAAGAAGACGACGAACGTGGTGTGAACGAAGACGAGGACATTGACGGCAATGATTCTGATGGTGGGAGCTCAGAGGTTTGATCGGCTGATCGCTTATCAGCAATAATTAATCACGTACAATTAGTTCTTATCGTTGAGTAATACCATTTTTGGGACCGACGCAAGTGACAGTGGAGGGTTGATAAAGGCCTTATTCTTGATTCATTCACCACTCTACAACACATGTTCTGATGCTCTCAATATTCTATCATACACAATAGTTCATGTATTAGAAAGTAATTGTCAATCACAATTTTTTTTAAATGTGTTGTTGTGTTGTGAGACATTCTCAAAGTTTTACCGACGCAAGTGACGGTGCATTACTGTATGATTCTGATGTTTGATGCTTCCTCCCTTGACTTTAATCATTGCTACTAGTCTCATAAATATATTTTCCATCAATCCTATATATTTCTGCTTAAAAATATTCCCATACTCTTCTCCACATCTCTCCTATAGCTCAAATAGCCCCTGTAGATGGTTTTGATGTTTTCAACAATGTCCAATAGGGTTTATGGTCATGAAAATTGTTGCTAATGATAACAAAGTAATACTATGGTCTTCAAATGATCTTGTGACTAACTTTGAGGTATATTTGATACGCCTGTACTACTACCGCTTAGAGGATTCCGAGTTCTTACGGACCATGATAAATAGTCATGTCATATTCTGCCAATATCACTTCCTTTTACTCCCTTGGATTTTATATCTAAGTCCGTGTGATCAACAAAGTCCCCTTAGTCTTCCGTGTCGCAACGGACCTCATTCTGTTCCACGGATCACTTCCGGTAGCTCGTTACCTCGTTACCTCGAAACCTTGCCACCTCGATACCTTGACAATTGTACCACTAGATATCTGTTCCGTCAGAACCGTCTTCCATCCGGACATTCCATTCTTACATTGGACTCTCTTCCGCGCATCTGCCACACAGATCTTAAGCCCGACGGATTGATTCCTTCACATTTACTGCAAAGACTTCCTTCAGTAGCAATCCCCTTGGGACGAGCTATTATACTCGCACTCATATGGATCAGTAGTCTACTCTAACAGGCTACACAGAATCACTTTCGCTCAGCGCCCTACTGTGGTACTCGGAGACGGCTCTTCTGATTCAACAGGCTGGATGCTCATAGCAATCTCAGGGCATGCCGCCTGCACTGGCACAGAAGGTCCATCGCACTGTGACGTCGCCGAAGTACTACTAGTCTGCCAATTAAAAGGTTCGTCATCCTATCTGCAATCCTATTGGATCTGTCACAACTTACTTGTTTCTTAGCAGACATGTGTGCCGCACAATGTTCTGTGTGCTTTGCTTGTGATGCAGAACACTTTCTTGCTGCCGCCACAATAATGAGGTCCTTGATGTGATTGGACTGCACATGTAGCAGTGGGAATATGTCCTGCCATGGCATCCGCAGCACATGCTCAGTGATAGTGTAATGAGGGACCACTGCAAAAATTTCTGCCTTGATCACATCAGGAAAAAGGGAATTTTTCTTAACAACACTTATGGTGACTTGAAGGTGATTCTAAGTAAGATTCAGTAGAATTCTGCTAAGTACGTCATTGCTTAAAACAAGTAGGGTCTTCCGATGAATATGACTTATTGTTACACTTATCAGCGCTTGACATAAGTACACAGTTAAGCAATGACATTAAGTGTGACTCATCATGTCAGATTCTCTCAAAGACACATTGTAAGCTAAATCAAAATAAGCAGACCAGAAGTAGAGGGATTCAGCTCTAAGCAGCCACATAGGTCCAAGTATATATTTATATTTTGTCTTTAAGGCTCCCAAGGTTACAAAATCAACGGTAAGTGTAGAATTCAGACAATAAAGCGGTGAGAATCATGTGTATTCATACCATGCAAAAAACATCCAAGCATATCTTTCAAGTTAAGACTCCCAAGTTCTACACAGTTGATAGGTAAGTGAACAATTCAAGCACTCACAAAACTGTTCAAGTCGGATGTATACCATTAAGATCGTGATCAAGACAAAGCGGTCAGGAAAAGCATCAATTCAAGTGGTGACTAAGACAAAATGCGAATGAAGACGGCCAAGCGAAGGAAATAAGCGTGATCATAAGAACTGCCAGAGTTGAATCAGGTCAGTAAGTGAATACAGCGCTGGCAAGCAAACCACCGGCAGAATGACAAGAACAAATGTTACTACTCCACGTCAGAGCCATCCGAGTCTTCGGACCCAGACTCGGACTCCGAGATGTCCACGAGCTGGGCGCGTTCGTCGAAGTCTTCATCATCCACAGCGTCATCGACGGCTCTATCGTTGCCAGAACGATGGCTCTTCTTGGAAAATTCCTTCGCAGAAGTGATGATGGCTTGGAACTTCTCCTCTCGGAGGCTTTTCACGATCGACTTCACATATGAGCGCGTGGAAGAACCCCAGGTGACGTCATTGAAGCCCGTTTGGCGATTGGAGACTTTGCCGGTTGAGTGATTGAGCGTCTTCGGCAAGGGTATAGATTTGCCCTTGGCAGCGAGAACCATTTCGATGGTTATGGTACGAGTAGCGATAAGCGTCAATGCTCGTTCAACCTAGTAGTAGCAATGAGTGATCAGCGAGGTGTGATTAGAAAATAAAATAAAAATATATTACCGCAGCACATGACAGTGCTAGACCCCCAGCAGGATTCAAGTCTTCTTCCGGCTTGTCTAGTAGTCCATGTATCTTGCGAGCGCCGTTGATAGCAGTGAAGTGGGCGCCAAATGTTTGCACCACGAAGGCACCTTGATAAAGGCCGCGGAACTTCTGTATTGCATGTTAGTACTAGTGGCACAGCGACAATAACAGAGGCAATGAATAGAGATAGTGAGAAGCACGTACAGATTTATCATCACCGTTTGCCTTCTTGTACAAGAAGCGAAGCTTGTCCAGCGCGTAAGTAGCGAATTCGACACGATTATCATCGGAGTGCTTGAGTGTGTCCTGGGACTCGAGGTATGCGATGACGATTGCAATGGCTGCTGAGCCGATGAAGCTTCGATAGGAGTCAGCAACACGCTGGACAGTCTATAGTACCAGGTTGAAATTAGTATTGCCATTGAAACATATGAACAGACTTACTATGAGATACACGGTGCTCGTGCTTGTGACTGTGCACGAGATGTTGGGGAAAATTGCGTCCCAGATCACCTGCAATTTCTGGCAGGCCAACTTGGGGGGAACTTCCCAGGGGTTAGCCAGAGTTGCAACGTATTGCATGTAAGTAGAAACAAAGACACGGCGCCAAAGCTTTTGTTCAACACCATCCGGGAGATCGTTGTTGCCAGGTTTCTTCGTGCGCTCGGCTTGACGAGCTGGGGGCTTGCCAGGCGAATCCTTGACGAGAGCCTGTACAATATGATGCGGTTATATTATAAGGTCAACAACTGACTTTAATGTTAAAAAAATAAGAAGACACTTACCGAACTTGAAACTCGTTTTTTCCCTTTGGGAGGGCTAGCAACTGCGGCCTCTCGTTCGAGACCCTGGGTCTCATCTTCATCTGAGAGTCCTCCGAGTCCATCATGGAGTTGCAGAGTATCTTGCTCTTTCGGTTCCTGCGTGATGGGGATAGCGTGAGAAATCAACACGTTTTCTGTCAACACCGAATTGGTGGATGAGCGAGTGCTGGCATTGGTCAGGGGGGGAAGGCGGCGTGAACTTGTGCTATTTTTGAATATGCTGGGCTGGCTGGTGGTGGCCTTAGTGGGCTTTGCATTTTTCGGGATGCTTGCTGCCCAATCGTTAATGCCAGTGGAAAAGTCCTTGCCATTGGGAGTCGAGTCACTGAGGAAAAAGTAATATAGAGTTGTTTCGTCGAGAGTGAGCTCAAGCATGATAAAGGGTAAGAAGAAAAGGGCTTACCTTTTCGAACTCGGCGGAATCCGTTTCTCATCAGAACGTGCTTGACGGCTAACGCTGATCTTCTTATCATCTGCCAGATCTGCCTTCCCCTTCCCCTCCTTCTCCTTCTTCTGCTTCTCCTTCCCTTTGCCCTTCTTATCAACACGACCTGGAGCCCCAGCCATAGGAGTAGCACCGCGGTCATATTCACTCAAGATGGGCATGGTCCACTGAGGTGGCTGCCTTCCCGGAGGGTGACTGGTGATAGGTTCGTCCGAGTCGTTGTTCAAGCGAGCAGCCGGAACTGACTGTGCTGATTTTTTACTGGTGGCCTTCTTAGATGCCTTCGTTGAAGGCCGATCAACGACCATAGCATCGTCATCCTGCTGAACAGATGCTGGCTGTTTGCTGGGAGCTTTCTTCGGCGTTGCGTCGACAACAAGGATGTCCGAGTCGTCTGAGTCGTTCGAGTCATCGGAATTGAGGCTGATTGTGCTGTGAGGTGCGGTTTTCTTCCTATCTGCAGCCTTACTCTTCCCTGACATATGAGTTTGCTGGACCGCTTTGATAGCATCTCGTACAGAACTCTTCGTCACCTTCCCTGCCTTCTTCCCGCTAACTTTCGTCTTTTTCCTGGGCGGCGACGACGGCATTGCACTATCAGACCCATCTGCGTCTATGTCCGAGGTCACCGTGCCTGAATGTTGGGTTGGATCGGGGTTGAAGGCGCTGCTATCAGCAGCCGCATCATCCATCTCAGCATCCGACAGAAACCCGTTGTCCTCCGCAGCGGGAGTCTGTACAATTACCTTCTGCTTGCGAGGAATTGGCTTTGGCCTTGGCCTTGGTACCGAAGGTGCAGCTCGTGCATCACTCATCTCGGCATCTGAAGGAGGCGTAACCTTCTTCTTGGTAGCAGGAGGCGCCACAACAGCCTTCCTCTTGCTTGGGATTGGCTTTGGCTTGGGCAGCGCAGCCCGCGGTGTAGCATCGGTCACCACATCCTGGTCCGCCTGGTTCTTCTCATATTTAGCAACACGTTTGATGCTAGCTCTCTTGGTGCGTTCTTTCTCTTCTTTAGCATCTAACTTAGACTGACGCTCAGCAGCTACTTCTTCTGCAGTACGGCGTTTCTTCTTCGGGGTTATGTCTGGGATACCCGGATGCTGAGTTGCATTTTTTGCACGGGTGACACGTCGAGTAGACATAGCAGGAGTAGATGGGGGCGAGCTTGCAGGACGCAAAGGCTTTATCAAGAAGACGCGTTTACAAGTAAGATGTTCGAATCGGGACTTCAATGTAATTTGACTTGCTAATTTGCCACGCCTCAACAGCACGCTCTTCGGCCTGAGTGCCCGAGTTCCATTCCTTCATATCTCCACGCCTTCGACCATATATTTCTACTTATCGATGTCGAATTCTTTCCGAACTTGCCAGGGCTTGAAGGAGACGACAATCACCGACTATCAACATCGATACCAACAATTCAAATCTTCATTGGTGACCAACATCCTAGTACCAGTAATGTTTCCTCTAGCTCCTAGTAAACTGTGGTGCGCTGACTGCTGTATTATAGATGCTACTATGTTTGCCGTGACTCGCTGCCTCAGAAGATTGGAAGGATCAGGCGCACCTTGTGTGTGTTTAGACTTGAGGGGGGGGGGAGTCTCACTTCTGTGGCCTTCGCATGTCAAACGCATTCCGTCATGCTCTTGGCCTTCCTCTCATCAAGGTGGACGATTGTGATATGCTTAACTTGAATGGTGAGGTTTCCATTTAATGTCCGGTTGGTAACTGCGGTGTGCTGACTGCTGTGTTATAGATGCTATGTGTGCCGCAACTCCCTGCTTCAGAAGATTGGAAGGATCAGGCGCACCTTGTGTGTGTTTAGACTTGAGAGGGGGGGGGGAGTCTCATGTCTGTGGCCTTCACATGTCAAACGCATTCCGTCATGCTCTTGGCCTTCCTCTCATCAAGATAGGTGATCGTCTTCGCATGTCAAACGCATTCCATCATGCTCTCGGTGGTGGCTGGAAGTTATTCATGGGCGCGCCTTGCATCAACCCTGAACACATCGTGTTGTGTGGCTGGAAGTTATTCATGGGCGCACCTTGCATCAACCCTGGGCAGATCATGTTACCATTGGCTACTTGTAAGTACTCGCATGCATGATGTTCTCCTGCGCATTTACCAGGCCTTGTATAAAGTCAACTCGAAGTTACACCTCCGACGCCAGACTCATGGGCCCCATTCGAGTCTACAATACCATCGGCACTATCTTATGATGCGGGCCAATGGCAACCTTCGTGCGCACAATATACACAACCTTGGCCGCCCTCAACCCACGCTACCATGCCTAGTGACGGGCTGTATCCGCCGTTTTTACAACAGGTCAGGGCGCACCACTCATATGCAATCCCAGCATCCACTGGCATCTGAAGAACCCGACGTCCCGTCATCACACCATTCCTCCTCCGAGTCGAGTTCACGACGTTCCCAGTCATCCCGACCTGGCACCGGACATGCTGCAACAAGCTCAGCACGCATGCATTCACGCAGCCCAACTCAGACTAGCGCAGGTGACGAACAACTTGAAGCACCTGGGAGTCGCGACGATCAAATGGAGTTTGACTTGCCAGAGTCAAATGGACGTGGGTATGGCTTTCATGATGATGCTGCCAATGAGGCAGGTATGAACAGCTCAGATCAACGCCCTTCAAGTGGTGCTGGTTCCATTGGCCAGGCGAGTCGAGATGGTAGTGTTCCTCTTCAAGTTCCTGGTGTTACCAGAACATATCATCCTAATATCAATGGTGCGTGTTAATTTCACTTGACGCTCATCCAAACTTGTGCTCACTGTATACTCTTCTCCATATGAAGGGAGAATTTGCGACGAACACGGAGATGACATACCACCGAATACTCCGCCACCTCCGCGTCCATCAAATCGTGGACCAGACAACTGGACACCATATGCTAATCGAGTCGAATTCGAAGTCGCAGACTTCCTCTACCGTCGCAACCAGATGTCGGGGGGCGATATTGACTTTATATTCAACCTGTGGGCCGCCTCATTAGCGGCTCATGGCGAAACACCGCCCTTCACAAACCACGTTGAGATGTACAACGTCATTGATTCGACGCCTCTAGGTGACGTCGCCTGGCAGAGTTTTAGCTCTGAATATAATGGTGCTCTACCTGAAGGTGACATTCCGACATGGATGACATCCGAGTATGATGTGTGGTTCCGAGATCCTCGGATCCTCGTGCACAACATTCTCTTCAACCCAGACTTCGAAGGCGAATTCGACTACGCTCCGCTACAGGAGTATGATACCAGCAACGGAGCACATCGCTTTCAGGACTTTATGTCCGGTGATTGGTGTTGGAAGCAGGCCGTAAGCCATTTTTCATCCTTTTTCCAATTTTCTCATCTCTCACAATTCACAGGATTTGATTGCCAAGGATCCCAATACAATTGGATCTATGTTCGTTCCAATAATCCTTGGCAGCGACAAGACTACTGTCTCCGTCGCTACTGGACACAACCAGTACTGGCCGGTTTATATGTCGATCGGCAACATCCGCAACAACGTGCGACGTGCACACCGCAACGGTGTTGTATTGCTGGGCTTCCTAGCCATCCCGACAAGTACGTGTTTCAATTTGATGTTGTCTGTTGCTGGCGCTAATTAGATGCATATATTTAGCTGACAAGGAGTCCGCCAAAGACGCACACTTTCGAAAATTCCGCCGTCAGCTTCTCCACTCATCGCTGGCGAAGATGCTGGAATCCCTCAAACCAGGTATGACAACACCCGAGGTTGTACGCTCCCCCGATGGTCATTTTCGACGTGCAGTGTATGGCCTTGGACCATATATTGCCGATTATCCCGAGCAAGCATTGCTCGCTTGCATCGTTCAAAACTGGTGC